GCATCCCTTTTCTTTTTTTCTTGTGAAACTACAGGCAACAAAAAATATCTATCCATTTTCTGATCCACTTATCCTCATGAGGGTCCCGGGCATGCTTCAGCCTACCCCAGCTGTCATTGGGCAGTAGGCTGGGGACACCCTGAACTGGCTTCCAGCCAATCGCAGGCCACACATAACAATTAGCGCTCACACACACACACACACCTCGGGACAATTTAGAGTGTTCCATTAACCTACCGTGTATGTTTTTGGAATGTGGGAGGAAACCGGAGTACCCGGAGTAAACCCACGCAGGCACGGGGAGAACATGCAAACTCCTGTGTGGAATCAAACCCTGCACCTCTGCACTGTGAGGTGGATGCACTAAACTTTATTGTACCATGCCGCCTGCAACAAAACAACATTTTTTACAAATATGTTAATTCTCAAATTCAAACAAGGTACATTTCAACAAAGTTGTATAACAAATAAATATTCTTTTTCAGTCAAAAGTACGTGTACTCGGTAAAGATGTATTTTGAACCTAACAGCAATATAGCAATTAAACTATGGAATTCTATCGAATATCCAAGGTTAAACATTAATAGGTGGCCCAGTGATCCAGTGGTTAGCTCGTTGACCCCGCATTGCAGAGGCGCAGGGTTCGATTCCGGCTCCAGCCTTCCTGTGTGGAGTTTGCATGTACCCTCCGTGTCTGTGTGGGTTTTCTCTGGGCACTCCGGTTTCCTCCCACATTCCAAAAACTAATGGCAAGCTGGCTGAACACTCAAAATTGTCCCTAGGTGTGAGTGTGAGCGCGGATGGTTGTTCGTCTCTGTGTGCCCTGCGATTGACTGGCAACCGGTTCACTGGGTACCCCGCCGACTGCCGGGATAGGCTCCAGCACGCCCCGCGACCCTTATGAGGATGAGCAGATTAGAAAATGGATGGATGGGGATGAGGATGTTTAACGATTGAAACGACATGTGAAAAGAAGGTCTGCAAGCAAATTGACTTCCGGGTTTTTTTTCCAAGTCCGTCAGTATATGAAATTCACCACTAGGTGACATCAATTTAAAAAACACCTCAGCCCAGGTTTCTGGGTCGGGTACATTGTGATGGTCTTGGTGATGGAGACATCATCAGTACATTTTGAGATGCAGCGCAGGATGGATGGAGCATATTCCTCCAGGTCTATTTATGCTTCCAAAGTAGCTGCTTCTCTGAACATTTGTGCACTAAAAGAAGTCTTGAAGCACAGATGCAGCATCACTGAGCCACACCCAGAAGCTCCAAACTGTGGGCTTGGACCATTTCCCCATTGGTTTATTGGCTGGGGCCATCAGTATGGTGATGTGGTAGCTTGGGCCAACTAATGTGAGGGCACAGGAGGGATCTGTCTGCACCACGTGAGTTATTATACACACAGCTCCAGGATGTTATTAGCCCATGTTGGTATGGCACCATGCTGTTGAGAGTGTCCCGTCAGTTTTGTGTGGTGAAAATCACCTGCGACCACATATAATACCACTGGGTGCTTGGATTGCAGGGAACTATTGGAGTCGTTCGGTCATGCCTGGCTTGTGTTCGCATTAGCATGAGCTCTGGGACCAATGTAAACTGCAATGATGTAAACAGCCGTGAATTCGTGATGCAAGTACTGTGACCAGCTTCTAAGACTCAAATTCTCGATTTCCTCAGGGCAATGGCCCCATCACTATAATTCCACTGTTTGTGCGCCAACCTTTGTTGATATCGAGACAGCGCCCCCAAGTGGGCATCACAGTCGGCTCAAAATAACAAATAGTTTTAGTCCATCAAGCTTGAAGGCTGCGTAGGGCATGTTGTCGTTTGGGCACGTTTCCATCAAACAAAGCAAGGAACAAGCCTGCATCTCCCTGGAACCACAAAATGAAATCCGTTTTCTTTGCCATTGAGCGAGCGTTAGCTAGGAAGATTGATGGTATCGGTGGTGTGTTAGCCTTCAGCTGAGCTAACCTTCCAGCACGTTTACCCCGCTTTTGTTTGCGTGAGCAATGCATTCAGTTGTCCCTGTCTCCCCGTGCTGTGTATCTTTCCATTCAAAGGAGATGCAGTCAGGTGGAAGTACTTTTCAATGCAGATGAAATAGCTGTCACTGAACTCTCTCTAAATTGGTTTCTACTTAATCCGAGTTATACTTCATGCAAGGGATGAGCATTGAGATGGCTCTGAAATTGCCTTTGATATCATTGTAAAAGGGCTTCATCCTGGGAGCTCGAGCAGCCGCTGCACTCGGGGGCATTAAAAGCGTATCTAATGCACAATTATATACAGAAAAATCAACTTCGAAAAACGTCATAAATTATTCACACATAGTTATGTTATAATAGCAACCAATAAAACGTTTTTTTCTATTCAGTAAGGCAAGTAAATAATTTGGCATCTTGATCAAAAAATTAGAGTGTACTTGTTTTCTGTCATTTTTCAGGGAAAACACTACGTTTGAAATTCATGAACAGTATATTTTAGGATTAAAGTAAGCGGTCCAGAGAATGGAAGGACGGCTGAAAATAATTATGGGTAAAAGATCTTGTAAACACTACTGCATTAACAGAGGAAAATAAAAAGTAGGTTTATCTTTTAACATTTCTACACTAAATTAGTTTTTGTGACCTACCATTCTGCAGCTAAGACAAGATTTTCTAAAGAAAATTGTCATGAACTGGATTTTGCATTGACATAAGTTAGCACAAATGACGTAGCGCGTGCAAACACACACACACACACACACACACACACACACACACACACACACACACACACACACACACACACGCACGCACGCACACGCACACACACATGTTGCGGTAGGCTGCAGGATGTCAGATAAAGCTAAAAGTAAGCTATCTGTCTCCAGTGGTGGTGCATTCAGGAGAACAACTGCTCTTTATATTCTCAACGACAGTACTGTATATTGTTTTTTTTTCCACGCCAACTCCTTCACAATATATCTATCTATCTATCTATCTATCTATCTATCTATCTAGGAGTATGTAGTCAGGCTGTTGTATTGAAAACATTTTTACATGACTCTGTGATTCTGAAGAACCTACTACCTGCAATTAAGTGATAAAAATACTTCCAGTGCAGTGGCTACTATGAGACAAACACAGTAAATTACAAGCCCCAAATCTCTTCTACTAAAGGAACGTGAATATAAATATAAACCTTCAACAAGACAAAATGACCCGCTACTTGGTCTGGCCTCACAAAATTGGAGTGGGGATGGAGAGAAAGCGATAAAAAAAAAAAAATCTCACAGCGATGACGAAAGCAAAGACAAAAGCAAGCAAGAGTGGGGAGTTTTATAGGAAAATTGAACCACTTGTTTCTCCTTTTTTCCGTCCTCTCTGAGCTAAATGTGGGCTGGCACGCTTTTGTTTGCTTGAACATTGGCACTTATATAATAGGTCTGTGTGTAAAAATTATGTCAGTCCTAAAATTAACCCCTGTGAAAAAAACTGTCGTGATTTCAGGGTTTCTTTTTTTTTTTTTTTTTTTTTTTAAGGGCTGAATTTTAGTTGGAAACTACTTGCGAAACAGAAAATGGATGGATGGATGGATGGATGGAACAGAGCTCCAACCAAGACGCCTACCCTCCTCAGCCGAGTTTGGCCGCTTTCAACGCGTTGTTTTCGGATGAGTGGTGTGGGTGTACCCCCTGGAAGTGGACGTGGGAATTAAGAAGTCAAGCTAACACTTGATTGCAATCTAATAAAAATGATCTACGAACAATTCAGCTTACGAAAAGCCTCTCGGAAAGCATTGTGTTTGCATATCCTGGTGACTCATGGGAGAAAACAGATCCGGCATCAAAGAGCCTGCACGTTAGCTGCTCATTTCCTCAATCTCTTATAAACCAGTCATGGAGAGTCTCATCCTTGTGATATTTTCTGAGGTTGAAGTGGGCATAAGTAGATATATCCACATCAGTTTGGGTGCCGATTGATCGCCATTTTTGGAAATCATTAGCAATGTCTGTACAATGCTTTTGAATGAACACATTTGGTCCGATTAATTTCCCGACTCCCACCAAGACATGGGAAGAAGGAGGGGGCGTGGCCATAATGCTGACTAGAAAGGGGCGTTTTGTGAGTAGTCAGTTATTTGATGATTTCTCCAAAAACAAACTGAAAATGCAAGCTAATATAATTTTGCCGATTAAAAAACGGAAGTTGAGCTTTTTAGTGAATATGGACCATCCCGGCAGGATGATCCCTTTAAGGCGTGCAGCTAGACGAGTTGGTTTGTGTGTGAATGTGTTGCAAAGAGGGGGGAGGGTGTTCTTCAGTGTGACCCTCATCAAGAGAAATTCGGGGGTATTCTTACCCTATTAGTGACATGCGCTTTGAAATCATAATTAAAACTGACATGAAGACTAGGAGACATACACTTCATGCCACTCGTTGTTTCGCATTCTCTCCAAGGGGGGCAGGTGGCAGCTGCACAAACCCACCCCGTCTTCTAAATCTCTCGCAGGCAGAAGAAACAGCTCCGGCCCACGGCTGCCAGCCTGCCACTAACATTAGAATGCTTTGAGAGGAAAAGCCATGTGGCGCAGCGAATCACTCGTGGCTCGAGAGCACAAACACTCAGCCCCCGTAATGATCACACTAGCCTGAGCATACCGTCCCCCCCGCCTTCCCCCTCATAACTTCCCTGCAGTAGCTCTGAAAAAAAGATCAGACAGAAAGCAACTTGTCTTGTAATCAGTATGTGATCTTTTATCATAACTGTTTCCTAATCGCATTATCTGCAGGTTACCAAAAGCAGGTAATCAACGAGTACGGACAGTCAGTCGGTCAATAAATACAGAATATTGAATGCCCCCCCATCCTCCCACCCCGAACAAGTATAGGAATCTTCTTGCTCTGGAACAAAAAGCAGAAAGCTTTTCAGTGCTCTCAGCAGTGGTTCCAGACGCAACCACTAGTCACTCTAAAAAATGCATCATAAAAATAAATACACATGGCGCTTACCTCACTTTGTAGCGATGTGCAATTGTTTAGCAGTCCATCATCCAACACTCTGTACACCAAGTTCGTGGAGGGAGAAGAGGAAGCAACAGGCGAGAATAGTAACGGGAAAAACAAATAGATTTAAGAACAATACGGGCTAAACGAAAAACTGACTGGATAACTGAATGACAGAGACACACAGACGTCCAGATACTCTTCGTTGCAGCAAGCGGGTTTGTTAAAACACACGCGCGCACACACGCACACGCTAACGCTCTCCCTCACTCGCCTCTTCGGCTTGACGTCAGCACAGTCACGTGACCTCACTCTGGAGTGGAGGGGAAATGCAATGGGAGGGGAAACGCTAAGAAAAAAAGAGACACAGAAGCCCGCATTGCCATGGCAACAGGAACACTGCTCTGAAATGATTTCAATAGGTCAACAAACACATGCATGCACACGCACACGCACGCACACGCGCACACGCACGCGCACACACGCAAACACACGCACAAACACGCAAAACTGAGTGGCACAAATGACACGACCCGTGAAGAAAAAGGGGGCTGGCAGTGGTAAGAGAAAGAAGACGTTAATAAACTGAAAAAGGTATTGGGATTGATTCCTGTGCTCATTTTCTAAAACACAATGGAACAACGAAGAGTGTGATTAACTGCACCCATGAAAACATATTAACACCAACATTAAAAAAATGTTTGCTATTCCCTAAAAGTTAAACGTCAAATGTTGTCTACACTCTTTTACACGGCACACTTTTAACTCCAGGGTTTGATGCAACGCATAATAAATAATAAATGAAAGAGCATCGGCTACCCATAAAGCAGAGCTGAAAATGTGGAGCACAGTAACTTCCAAAGTGGTAAAATATACAACAATATACGTCCCTCAACTTCTATTTGTAATGCACGAGTCCATCAGCACTTGGAAAACCAATAAAACATCTCCTTAGCCCATCCTCCACTCAACCAACAGCTTTATTATCTGAATAGCATCTGCTGGTCAACCGAATGTGGCGAAGGAGGGGTGTGCAGTGAAGTGTGGAAATGAACCCGCAGCTTGGGTATGACTGCCAAGTGTCCTGCTCGATACTGATATAGAGAAATGATTAAAGCCATCAGGATACAGAGCACAGAGAGCACAAAGTGCTTGATGATGTTAAAAGTGAGTGAAGACTGTGGCTGAACAAATTCTGGGATTTAAGATGGCTGACTGATTGCATGTGAGGATGTTTTACTGTCTCTAAGACACTGAGAGTTTGAAGGGATGACAGGAATGAACAGTGGACATTAAGCTTTGAGCGTGCAACATTTTAGCATCCTGAAATCTGAATAGGCGATGTTTTCCTTTTTCTGACATTCCCAAGATGTGTACAAATAACAGTTAATGATAAGAATGATTAAAATGCATAAACTTACAACATTACAACTACTTACCAATAAGTTCCATTTACAGAGTTTGAAGATATGACAGGAATAAACAGTGGACATTAAGCTTTGAGCGTGCAACATTTTGGCATCCTAAAATCTGAATAGGCGATGTTTTCCTTATTCTGACATTCCCAAATAACAAATAACAGTTAATGATAAGAATGATTAGAATGCATAAACTTGCAACATTACAACTACTTACCAATAAGTTCCATTTACAGTTCTATGGTTATTATCAATGAGTGTGTATTTGAAGTCAGGAGATTTGTGTGTGACGTTCAGAGGGATGTCCAAGGCGAGGAAATACTAGGTCCAAAGTGTTCACTCATCATAGGGTCTTTTGAGCCATGCTTTGTCCGTCATCTAGGACCTGTTTGCCTGGGGTGACCCTGCTGCGGGTAAAAAGACCCAGAAAATTTAGCTCCTTGATCATTGAATTACATATACAATGGAGATTGAATGTCTGTATTCTTAAAAGACAAATATGGTACATATCATTGTCATTGAATGAGTTCTGACCGAAAACCTGTGGGATGATGTCAGAAATAAAATTTCTGAAACAAAATCAAGAAATGCAGAGGATTTATTGAATTTGTCAAATCCTCTTGGTTGCCTAAATCCAACAGATTTGAAGCATGTTCTTAGAAATGATTTGGCATTTCATCGAAATGCTAAATTCAAACGATTTTTCTGTTTGTACAGTCAAGATTTGAGTTTGGAAAGAAAAATACAGACACTGCTATTTTTTAAATAGCCCATTATTATTTAAACTTGTTTTTTTCTATAATGCACCTTCATCCATCCATCCATTATCGGAACTGCTCATCCTCACAAGGGTCGTGGGCGTGCTGGAGCCGATCCCAGCTGTCTCCGGGCAGTAGGCGGGAGACACCCTGAACTGGTTGCCAGCCAATCGTAGGGCATACATAAACGAGCAACCATTCGTGCTCACAATCACACCGAGGGACAATTTAGAGGGTCCAATCAACCTACGGTGTATGTTTTTGGAAGTACATGGAGAAAACCTATGCAGGCGCGGGGAGAACATGCAAACTCTATACAGGGAGGCCAGAAACTGGAATCCAACCATGCTAATCAGTGGATCACAGTATAATGCACTTATCCTTCTATAATCAATTCATTTGGTACTGTGAACGAAGGTATGGGAATTTTGTCAAATATATGCGCTGACAGTTTGTTTACTGAATAAAGCAAGGATAAGTCTTGTCTATTTTGAAAAGAAGTGTACTTGGCATTATTGCTGAAAATGTGTGGCGTGTTTCCAAATTGTACGTTTTCTGTCTTCAAGGTTCCAATCTAAGTTCATGTAATGTTGCAATAAATGCAATTTATAATGTATTGCATGCTCTGTATGTGTGTGCGTGCGTGCATGCGTGCGTGCGTGCGTGTGTGCACATTTGGAAGGAGAGTGGGCAACAGGCACAAGAGGGAATTCCTCCCCGCTGAAGATTCAGGAAGCAACAGCCTGGGTGGAAGAGAAAACAACTTGTCTCTCCAAAGCAAATCATTTAGAGATTCCTTTGAAAAAGGAAACAGTCTCATGTGGTGTCTTTGTTAGAAGCACACGCCTAGGGAACGACATTATTGTCTGAATGCAACTGAAATGAGTTGAGCGAACGAAAAAAAAAACAATCTGGGAAATTCATGAAGTGTGAAGCCTTGACTGTAATTTAACATTCTTTAGGCAGGAAATATAAATAACTAGTGTAGAGTGAGAAAATATCGTGGCGTGTGGGATGAGGTTATGTAACACTTAACTTTGTCTACTCAAAAGTAAAACCTGCAAATAAAACCAGATCTTAAAGATGAAATATTTATTCAGGAGATATGCATGTGTTATCTTTGAATGTTTCATTTTTGCATGTATAAACGTGCTGATGTGCCTTGACAAAAAGCTCCTCTCTGGCTTCATCTGTCCAAAACATGCTCTCCCAGGAGCTTTACGCTCATCATATGGCAAATTCTAGTCTTACTGGTGACCATTGTGGGGTTCTCATTCTTTAATGCAGTGCTGTACATATCAGTGTTTGCGCAACGCTAAAAAATAATTTCTACAGAGTGGATATAAATTTTAGCACCAACACTAGTTGTTCCTTCATTATCCATTCATTATCTGGGCAAATCCCCATCTTCCCTTCAATAAAGGAAATACACAAAATAAATCTTACATTACTCTCTGTAGCAAGTGGCATAAAATAAATTGCTTTAAATTTAAAAGCCACACGTCGAAGTTTTCATTCTGACTTAATAACGACTTTGTGAAGGTTGGTCAGAAACTATGGACGGGCTGTGCTGCATAATGCCCAGGCCTGCTTTAACGAAAGTTTTGTCCACATGCGTTCACCTCAGACTTAATCTTGTAACTTCTATCATATTCTCATCTTCTGCCGTCTGTCTTCCTTCACAGTTGACAGAAACACATTGGAAAAATTTTCAGCCAAATGACCATACTGGCACGCCGCCATGCTGCGAGTCTCGAGGCCTCTGTGGATTCATGACTAAATTCTCTGGAGAAAGAAGCACAAAACATTGGGGTGAGCATTGCCTGAGACTACCTTCTCCGGACTATTTCCGAGTTAAGTTTTCTTCCTTTACTAGTAAGGCCGGGCTTAAATTGCAGGTCCAAGTGACCAATTCTTATTTAATGCCTACTGTACATCCATCGATTTACATGTACATTTCAACTGACTCATAACTGTGGGTACATTCACTCAACACATGAAACAATCCACGTGTCTCAATGCCCAAATAGCATGTTAGCAGCTAACAAGTGTCAACACCGATCAGCGACAACATGGAAGTAAAGAATTATTTTTTTTTAATGTATTGAACACAACAGCCAGTTTAAGAATCTGTCGACCTAAAGTAGCCCAAAAAGGACATATCGTAGCGGATGCTTTTGCAGCACTTCCCATTTTCAGTGATTGTTTATAATATGGCGGCACAGTGGCTGACTGGTTAGCATGTCACCCTCACTGTTCGGTCATGAGTCCAAGTCCGGCTTCCTGTGTGGCATTTGTGCTAGCTTTCTCAAGTGATTCTGGTTTCCTCCATCATTTCAAGACAAGCTTGGTAAATTAGTCGAAGACTATAAATTGTCGCCAGTGCTAAAGCGAGCAATGTAAAATCTCATTGACAGGCTAATAGAAAATGAGCATTGCTTTCCAGGAATGATATGTGTTGTTGGCATTCTTGGATCCTTGGAAGACAGCTTCCCTGCTTTAAGGTGTTCTAGACTCTAGAGTGGTTGTCTTATTGTATTTTGCATAAAAGTGCTGTAAATCTTGTAAAACCTTTTAAATTAATTGCTCAGTCCACATGTGAAGAAAGTGGATGAATAGTCATAAAAATGCCATTGTCTGAACTTAACTGCTGTCGCGAAGGGTGGGTAAAAGAAATTCCGACTCGGTCTGTGCGGTAATAGATTCAGTGAACCTAACTTGCTCTCTAGCATGTTTTGCATGCTCAATCACTCGAACAGTCTTCTCCACCGGAACAAACAAGGTTTGACTCAATATAATATGATTCTCAGATAAACGTCTGATCGAACATTCTTGCTTTTAAGTCAGGCATTTATGTTCCTGTCATTTTTCAGCAACATACTGTACGTTTAATCTCTCAGACCGTAGACTTGTGTTGACGTCTGTTAATTATTTATTATTTTTATGCTAAGGGGAGTTGTGTGTCAAAGCAAAGAATATTGCATAAAAGCAACCATATGTCCGCCGCTAAGAAAAGTCAGTCTTGAACCGCGACTAAGAGAGTCTCAATGCTCAGGCATGTGTCAATACAATTAAACGTACCTCCTGTATTCTAAATTGAAATGTGTCAATTATT